CTTTGTCTACTTGCTGAGAGTGGCTTTAACTTCTGGGCTGATGTGCTGGAGTAGGGAAGAATTCTATTAGCATGTTAGAACAAGACGGAACTTTATTATTTCATTCAACCCTTCCATTTCACCAATAAGAAAGTGGAAGTGGAGGAAATGTATTTTCTTGAAGGCAGCTAGATTTTTTTTTTTTTCTTTTGGCCCTGGCTGGTGGCCATAACCCGACCTTAGCTTCTTAGATGAACCCAGACAGCCCTCTGGCTTCCTCATGGGAGGGAACTGGGCCATACATAATCAGAGCCTGTTTTCCTGTTTTCCCCCAGAATTAGCTCTGTGTTTTGCAAAGGCTCAGAGTTTTTACTTGGGTGTGCCCTCCTTTTCCTCCCATCTCCACCGTGATTCAGGCCCCTGCTGGCTCTTGCCCTCTTGCTCCTTTGCCCTCCCCTGGCCCTCTGGGAGAGTTCATCTTCCAGCCAGACTGCTGAGCTTCTAGAAAGCTCTAGGATAAGGGAGAAGGCCTAGCCTTTCCAGCTGGAGAGCAAGCAGGAGCCAAATTGGCTGGAGGCCTGACAGGCTGAATTGATAATAGTACTGTGTCTCTGAGGTAACACAGCCAGAAGAATGCCGGCCAAATGACCCCAGAGAGGGAGGCAGCTGCAGCAGAGAGCTGCCATCGCTGGAAGAGACGGGGGCACATCACACATGAGAGAAGAAGAGCTTCACACTGAGAATCACACACGCACACGATGCTTACAAATATGTGCACCCTACATATAAGCATACAAGAATAAATCAGAAAGGGAAACTGAGGCCCATAGGGAAAGGATAAATTAGCAGCTTGTCTTCATGTGGGCTTCTGCCATAAATTGCTCTATTTCAGGCTTCTGTCCTGCTAGCTCGTTGACAGGCAGAGCTACTTAAAATACCTGTCTCGCCTGTTGGCTTAGCCTGTCTCCAAGGATTGAGATAAATTCCTCCTTTAGCTATGTTACTGTGATAAGCAGCACGTAGTTTATAAGCCTGTGATGCCATCTGATCCCGCCATCAGTGCCTGCACACGTGGAAGGAAGGAGAAGAAGGCATGGGTGCCCCAAATTATCCCCATGAAGACTGAGGGAGGAGCAGGGCAACAAACCCTGGGCATTTTTAGTTGGTTTTGTTTTATAATACTATCTGCTCTCCTGAATATAAAAATTAATATGTATCCAAGGTATAAAAGTTTAAACAGACTTGGTGCAAGTGGCTCATGCTTGTAATCTCAGCACTTTGGGAGGCTGGGGTGGGTGGATCATTTGAGGTCAGGAGTTTGAGACCAGCCTGGCCAACATGGTGAAATCCCGTCTCTACTAAAAATACAAAAATTAGCTGGGCATAGTGGCTTGTGCCTGTAATCCTAGCTACTCGGGAGGCTGAGGTGGGAGAATCGCTTGAGCCTGGGAGGCAGAGGGTTGCAGTGAGCAGAGATCGTGGCACTGCACCCCAGAGTCTGGGCGAGAGAGTGAGACCCTGTCTCAAACAGACAAACAAACAAACAAACAAAAAGTTTAAACATAATAAAAAATAACAGAGAAGGAAAAAACAAGTTATCTATGATTCCACTACCCAGAGATATCAGGTTGAACTGTATGCAGTTGCCATTTTCATAGGTCAAAATGGGTGAATATCAGCAATTTCATGTTTTCACTTAATATATTGGTATATTTCCTTCCAAATACTTTACATTCCTTTAAATGGAAATATATACATATATATTCACACACACGTATATATTTGAGATTATAATGTATATGCAAGTATATGCGCAGTTTTTTTCCATAAAACATAATATAATCATTTCTCCATGCAATTAATTTTTTTTCTCTAAACAGTGTTTTTAATAGTTACATAATGTCCTGTCGTTTGGGAGTATCAAGGACATTTCCGCAGTCTCCAGCTACTTGTCCCATGGCCCAGGGAAAGAAAGAGACTTGTTTCTGGCACTCTCTTGACCAGGGAAGGGCTGGACCAGCTCCCAGCAGAGCTGGGGAGAAAGCTCTGGTGACAGGCGGCCGGAAGGCAGCTGGCCCTTGTCTCTTCTCAGGACATGTGCTGAGTGCAGGCAGAGGACAGGAGTGGAAAAGTTTGTCCCTGAGAGGCTGGGAAGAGTATAAAGAAGGGCATGCTCCCTGCCAGGGACCAAAATAGGGGTCTGGAGGGGAGTCAGGCTCTAGCAAGGGCCTTCTCTTGCCCAGAAAGGATTATTTTAAGTGCTCAGGTATTTCAGCCAGCGACAGGTCTCCAGTTTCTGTGGTAACTGAGCTGAGTCAGCTGGAGAAGCCCCATTTCTTCCCAAAGTGCTCTCTCTCTGCCTTAGCCTTCCCCATGATAAGCTTCAAGGTCAGACCAAGCCCTTCTTGGGGCTCGCTGCATGAGACAGAGACTGCTACCCTTTAGCATACTTCCCCACATCTTTGCCACTCAACTAGTTTCGAGTGGAAGTGAGAGGATGAAAGAAGGGAGAAAGAGAGAAAGGAGAGGAGGGACCCTTTCTGATGCTGATGGTGGGAATCAGTCAATAGCAAAGCCATGTTGCCTCTTTGTGCCTCAGCATTCTCCTCTGTAAATGGGGCTAATACTACTTATCACATAGGGTTATTGTGAGATTTAAGTAGGCTATTGCATTGACACTACCAAGGACTCCTCTGCACATGGTTGTACTCCACTTACTATTGATGCTTTATTACCTACTCACTCTTCCACCCCTCCCTTCAAACTCCCTAATTGCAAGAAGGAAGTGCCTAGTAATAATGCTAATGCAAATAGTTGGCCTTTACTGAAAATTTGCTATTCATTTATTCAAGAGGAATTTAGTGAGGGTCTGTTATGTGCTGGGTATTTTTCTAAGCACTGGGAATACAGCAGTGAAGGATTGCAAATTCCTGCCCTCATGGAGTATACATTCTAGAAGGGGGAGGCAGACAATATACAAATAAATAAATTGACAGTAAGTATACAATGTATCAAGTGTAGATATGTAGTATGAAAAAAATATAGCAGGGCAAGGGAATGCATAGTGAGTGGTGGGAGGTGGGGCAATGGGTGCTACTAGATTTTATTTTATTATTATTTTTTTGAGACAGAGTCTCGCTCTGTCGCCTAGGCTGAGGTGCAGTGGCAGAATCTTGGCTCACTGCAACCTCTGACTCCTGGATTCAAGCGATTCTCTTGCCTCAGCCTACCGAGTACCTGAGACTATAGGCACCTGCCACAACACCTGGCTAATTTTTGTATTTTTAGTAGAGATGGGGTTTCACCACGTTGGCCAGTCTGGTCTCGAACTCCTGACCTTGTGATCTGCCTGCCTTGGCCTCCCAAAGTGCTGGGATTACAGGCGTCAGCCACAGCGCCCCGCCAATGGGTGCTACTTTTTAAAGGGCTTATGTGCCAGCTGTTATTTGAGCCTTAAACACCCGAACAATGAATGTTTAATAAAGCATTTTTGGACATGCCAAGGGCACTTCCAAGCACTGGGAAGGGTGATAGTTCTCTTCATTTGCAGAGCGGGTGAGAGCTGGAAAGAGGAGTGGTAAGCAGAGGCCCAGGGAACCAAGACACCTGGCTCCCCTCTTTGCTCTCTCCTGTTGCAGGCAGTGCCAGCTTTGGAGAGGGAAGATGGGTGTTGGGCAGGAAGGTTCTATCACTCAAGGCATAGGCCCCACATATCCACTCAGACTCTTTGGGTCAGTCCTTTGTTCTGGTGAGTGGAGGCTTAGAGGAAAGCAGAGGTACAGGGTGTGTGGAGGGACAGTTTTCCCTACCCAGAAGGACCCGCAGGTCCAGGAGGTTCTTGTCCAAGCCTTGCATCTATTTGTTGGCAAATTTGGAGCCCTGTGGACAGTATTGTTTAAGCTACGCACAGGGTTTGGGATCATGGTTACTCAAAGAAAACAGATTTTATGTGTGTTTTATGGGGGAGCTGAGAAAAGGTCACGTTATCTGTGTGTGTGTGTGTGCGTGCGCATGTGCACGTGTGTGCGTGTGTGTGTGTATGTGTACATGTATGCACATAGGCACAAGCTAAAAGAACAAGGGATATGTCACCTCTATGCCCATGCTGTTTTTCTTGGTGATCCTTGCTTTGCCATGAAACCCATGGGTTTCAGTTCTGGCTCCTGTCTCATTCCAAGAGATAAGCATAGGCCAGGTTATTGGGGACCTCCCCAGTGAGGCTGGTTGGTCTCCTGTAGGTAGGGAGTACCAAACCTGAGAAAGATCCTCAAGCCCCAGATGTCACTGCTGGAAGGCCTTAGAGATCATTTGAATGTTGCTAGAATTTTGGCTCCCTGAGGGCAGGGCCTTTGTTTTGTTCCCTATTATAACTCCTGAGCCCAGAGTAGAGTCTGGCACATAGTATATGCTAAATAAGCATTTGTTGGGTAGATAAAAAGCTCTAGCTCAATCCCCACTTAATTTACAGAGGAGAAAGTTAAGCCTAGGAAACAGAGGTGACAGAGCTAGGACTGTAGATCCACATTTCCTTGTCTTCTTTTGGAGTCCTCTCTCTCCGATCCTCAAAACCCCAGAATTTCCCAGGCTGCCAGGATTAAATGAAGTGAGCTATTAAACTTTCCAGCCTGTGCCTAGTATGTAGTAGGTGCTCAATTAGTATGAATTTCTCCCCTACCCCCCCCCCTCTTTTTCCTGCCCGTGGCACTTTCCTCAAGTTTCTCTGCAAGGCAATGTCATGTACTCAAGTATTTTTTCCCACCTTGTACCTCTTCTCCATTCACACATCTGTTCACCATTCACTTGCTGTGTGTTAGGAGGGACACGAAGGAATTCAGAGATGACTGATTAAAAGATGACCAATAGCCCTGTTTTAAGAGATTAATCCTTCAAAGTGTATTAATAAAACTAGTGATTCCTAAGGGCAGGATTTCCACAGAGGGGATATGCTGGGATCTCAGGACGCAAGGGGGAATTCTATTAGGACCCCACCTCTGAGTGTCTGCTGTCTTCCTCTCCCACAGTGGCAGATGAAATGCTGCAAGTGTGACTCCAGGCAGCCTCACAACTACTACAGTCACCGAGTAGAGAATGTGGCTTCATCCTCCGGCCCCATGCGCTGGTGGCAGTCACAGAATGGTGAGCATTTGCCATCTACAGGGACTCAAACTGTGCAGCCTCCACAGAATGAGGTGGATGGAAGGTGCCCTGTAACCCTTTGGCTTTCCCAGGCATTTCTTATGGTGATGAGACATGGGTGATTGACAAGAAGAACATTTCTGCCTCATATTTGAGGTCCGTTGGATGTTATGGTAGAAGAATTTATTGGAGGTGAAGGAAAGGGTATGAGGAGAGAGGAATGTCTTTATTTCCCTCCACTCAGTCTCAGTGGGTGGGCTTGCAGAATTAAGCTTTGGGAACAAGTCTGTGTGGAACAGACGAGTTGAAGCCCTCTAAAGTATTGAAGACATCAGGTGATGGTGGGAAGGAAACTTAGCCAAAAACAGATAGGGTCTTGAATAGATGACATAAGCAGAAACATACCACTTCCCACTCCTCTCCAAGAGGGAGTTTGGAAAATCAAGGTTAGAGAGTTTCTGACTTCCTCGAGCTAGTCTAGTCCAGGGCTTCCTTCAGGGCTGGGGAAGTGGAAAGTCTCTGGCTGACAGTTTCTACTTTTTGTCCTTCCAGATGTGAACCCTGTCTCTCTGCAGCTGGACCTGGACAGGAGATTCCAGCTTCAGGAAGTCATGATGGAGTTCCAGGTGTGCCTCCTGGGGGTGGCAGCGGATAGGAGAGTGACTCCTGGGCCATATGGGCATGGAGCCATGGGGGAGCACAGTGTCCTTGTCTCTCTGGTCTGGAGCAACACTCACCATGAGCCTATATCATGGTGACAGCAAAGGACTTGGTCCTGGGTGAACAGTGGCACCTCCAGGCTCCCTATCTTGGTCGTGCAGTGGTTGCATATCCTCTTCATCTCTCATTCTCCACCCTCAACCCATCTAATTAATTCAGGTCTGCCAAGTACCAATTCTACTGGGCCCAATTGCTTGTTGTACATTTGTGTATTCTTGGTATACTCTATTTTAATAACTTTGCATATTAGATTGAGTTTAACAAGCAGCCAAGAACTTGCCTATCCAACTAACTGATGGATGTTCCTTTGGAACAGCTCTCTTGGTGGACAATCTACTCATTCAGTGCCATTACTTCTCAAAGCACTTTCAGATTCTGCCTTTAGAACAGCCTTCTAGATACTTCTTTTGGAGGAAATATTTTCATTTAATTGCCATAGGTCAATTTTTTCTTTTCAGAGATGATTTGGTTTTATTCTTTCTACAGAAATAGTCAGATATTCAATGATCAAATTTGGTTAATAAGATTAAATGATTAGGAAGGGAGATATAACTTTCAGGAGTTAAAATGAGCTTGGAATAAAAAGTAATAGGACCTAATTTCTTACATGACTGAAGAAGTTGGCTCTAAGAGCCTCGCCCCATCTAAAGGTCAAAGGTATTTTGAGAAATGCAAGTATCGTTTGAATAAATGCCCAGTCTCTAAAGGTGGCAACTTTGAAGGGCAGCATATTCATTTGGATGGACAGTGTTAAATAGTCTCCTTACTTTATCATCACTCACCTGTTCATTTATTTATCAATTATTTGTGAGCACTTACTAAACACTGATTACATGGCAGGCTTGGTGTCAGATGTTAGGGATATAAAGATGAATAAAACCAAATCACAATCTTCAAGCAGCATTCACCATATGTGGGGAAGTCAGTAGTGAGAGAGTGCAATGTGTGCACAATATTGGTAAGAAGAGGTGCTGGGAGCCCATGACGGGGCTCTCACATGGTCTGTCTTGGGAGGGCCTGTCAGGGAGTACACCCAGGGGAAGATGAACTTTCGTAGATCAGTAATGGCCAGGTGAAGGGCAATGTTTATTCCAAGCAAACAGAACCATAAACACAAAGACCAGGAGACAGGCGGCAAGAAGGTGAGGTATATGATTGGGGCTGGGGACAAGGGAATGCACACAGGGCCTGGAGGGTAAAATGTGCTTGGTGGAAAGAGGTGGGGATGTGGAGGGCTGAAGACTGCTGTGAGATGAGTTTCCAGGTACACACAGAGGGAGGGGAGCAGACTGAAGATTCACCATTCATTCAACAAATGTGTGCTAAACACCGATGTGCTAGGTGTTGGGGGTCCACCTGTGAACCACAGACAATAGGGGCTACAGCCTGGTATACTGAGTCTCAACCAGGGGCACTATTTTGCCCTCCCCTCTCCCGCAGGGGGTAGCTGACAATTTCTGGAGACACTTTTGGTTGTCATAACTATGGGTATGTAATGATATCTGGTGGGTAGAAGTCAAGGATGCTGTTCACCAGGCTGCAGTGCACAGGACAGCTCCTAGGACTAAGATTTCCCCAACTCAATACTGTAACAGTGAGAATGGTTGAGAAATCCTGGTCTCATGGGAAAAGAATAAAAAGCAAGAAACCAACAAGTAAATAATTGGAAATCGTGGTGACGTTTCTGAAGGAAACAAGATGCTGAAATAGAAAATAATGGGGCAGGGTGGGGTGGACCAGCCATGAGCAGGAGAACACACTTCAGTCAGGTATCAAAAGATCTGTACCAGGAAATGACATTTAAGCTGAGAACAAAAGATGAGAGGGAACCTACCAGCGGGAGGAGCATCCCAAGTAGGAAGACTGGACAAAGGCTCTGAGGAGGGACTGAGCTTGGTTTAGGGCTTGAAGAGAGGAGGTGGCCTGAGAGGAGGCAGGGCCCAGGGAGCCTGGGGCCTATTCACTCATGGTCAGAAGTTCAGATTTCGTTCCAGAATAGTATTGGAGGATTTTTAGCAGAGGATTGACAAGGCCCATTTTATGTTTTAAGAAGATGGCCAGCCTGGCCAACATGGCAAAACCCTGTCTCTGCTAAAAATATGAAGATTAGCTTGGCGCGGTGGCTCACACCTGTAATCTCAGCACTTTGGGAGGCCGAGGCGGGTGGATCACTTGAGGTCAGGAGTTCGAGACCAGCCTGGCCAACATGGCGAAACCCTGTCTCTACTAAAAATACAAAAATTAGCAGAGCATGGAAGTGTACACCTGTAATTCCAGCTACTCAGGAGGCTGAGACACGAGAATTGCTGGAACCTTGGAGGTGGAGGTTGCAGTGAGCCGAGATCACACCACTGCACTCCAGCCTGAGTGATGGAGTGAGACTCTGTCTCAAAAAAAAAGAAATGACTGAGTAAGAGTGAACATGGGGAAAGGGGAAATCAGATGAAGCTTACTAGGGAGATCAGGCAGGAGGGAACCCTGAAGCTGGAGAGACAGGCCTGGGCCTGGTTCAGTGTCTGCTTTGGAAGCTGAGTTTATAGACCTGCAGTTCCAGGAAGTTGTTCAAGCTTGGAGCTGTCAGCATAAAGACCACATTTAAAGCCACCCAAAATGGATGAAATCATTTTGTAGGAAGGAGCAGGGACTCAATATGTCATGCTAAGGTGCTCAGATTATATAATGAGATCAGTGCAGACTGATTGAAGCTCTCAAAGATCAGATAATCACCCGGGAAGAGCTCTCTGGTAAGTGGGGAACGTGGTTTGGAGGGCCAGGACAGAGGAGGCTGGACATGAGTTCCAGGAGGGGAGACAGAGAGAGAAAGAGAGAGAGAGAGAGAGAGAGAGAGAGAGAGACAATGGTGAGCTGTGGGAAGTGTAGGAGCAGGGGAATGTCTAGCCTGGAAGCCTGGAAGCCTGGTAAGCTGAGCTAGGGATCACTCCTTCTGGAAGGCAGATCCTGGGGAGAAACTTCTGTGGCCTGTGGTATGCCAGGAGGTTTGGACCTGGACGCTCCTGAGCCCACTTGCTCCCGCTGGGCTCCCTTTCTCCCCAGTTCACTGGAGGAGCCTGTCTCTCTGCTTGTGTCTCCATGGGGCACAGCCCCAGCGCCTCCCCTCTGCACACTGCCCCTGTCTCCGCAGGGGCCCATGCCCGCCGGCATGCTGATTGAGCGCTCCTCAGACTTCGGTAAGACCTGGCGAGTATACCAGTACCTGGCTGCTGACTGCACCTCCACCTTCCCTCGGGTCCGCCAGGGCCGGCCTCAGAGCTGGCAGGATGTTCGGTGCCAGTCCCTGCCCCAGAGGCCTAATGCGCGCCTAAATGGAGGGAAGGTAGGTAGAGGGAATCCTGAAAACTAGGCCTGGGGAGAAGTCCCTGATGTCCCACTGTTCACACAGCCACATGGACTCTTGAGAAGGAATGGAAACATCCATCCTTGCCAGCTCCCCTTGCTGACTTTCCTGAACTCCCCCCAGTAATGACCCCTGTGGCCACCCTCAAAACATTTGCTGCTTATCCTCTTTCTGAGGAGGGATATTTCAGAAAGACCTTGGGGCCACCGCATTACTCACCCCTGCTCTCTTACTCACCCCTGCCCTCTTCCACAGCCCCCTCCCCCGTGACTCATTGTCTCATCCCTCTAGTGGGAAGATGAAATTGACCCTACTTTGGTGTGAGGATTTTGGGATGGCTAGTTAGATGCAAGAGCAAATTACACAAATTTCATTTCACCTTGGTAGGGTTTAACACAAAAATAAACATTTTCAGTTTAATCCCTCCATCTAACCCAGTCTTAGCCCTTGGAGGGAATTCTGGTATAACCCAGAGCCCGAATTCTCCTGAGCTTAAACCCTGAGCTAGAAATAAGAACCTGCCTGAAGAAACATTCAGAATGTTTCTCCCTAAGTCCTCCTGACATGATCAAATTCTTTCATAACTGCTTTTCCCCATCCCCTGGCAGAGGAGGCTATAGTTTCTCTTCTCCTTTCCCTGGCCGAGACACAAGTGAGCCCTCAGAGCTGCTCTCATGTGGACCAACGCTCAGAGTGGGGCCCTCTCTGCGGACCATGCATCTCTTCCTTTGGGTTTAGCAGTTCCTCCTTGGGTATACCCTTACCAAAATCTATGTTAACCACATTCTTCACACAGCAGATCAGAACGCAGGACTGTTTCCTAACTTGTGGAGGGCGGATGTGAAAACTCTTCCTGGGATATGTAGATGATGAATCGTTTTTTTAAAAAAAGTAAATCAAAAGCATAGTTGAAATTGGGATTGTCCAGAGTGCTGTAGTCACCCACATTCATGCATCCTTGGATTTTAGATTTCTCACTCATCCTGAGTCATGAGAAAATTAGTATCTCCTAAACCCTCATATATAGATGATACATCTTACCATACTTTTTGACCCAGGGAACTCAGGAAATTCTTAGGATACTTATATTTTCAACTGGGGGGCAGGGTGTACACACACACACACACATACACACACACATTTATGGCCCAGTGATCATCTTGTTCCCCCAAAGCAGCTGACAAGCCTCATAACCATGGTCTGTCTCAGGTTCCAGGTAACAAGGACTTCAAATGTGAGGCATATAATGGAAAGGAAGGTTTCTTCTGAGCTCGAGGCACACTATTTGTCTTTTCTTAAGTGCTTCTCTTTCCCTTCTCTCTGTAGGTCCAAGTTAACCTTATGGATTTAGCATCTGGGATTCCAGCAACTCAAAGTAAAAAAATTCAAGGTCAGTGTGGCCCCTCCTCTTGTCCATGGAACTATGAGTGGGAAAGGAAACAGAGTTGGAACCCAGGTCATGGGAATTTCCTAGTTTTTCATGTTTTTGTCAACGTGGTTGGGGATTTAATACTTGCCCTGTTTGCCCTATAGCGACATTGTCTGTGGGATGCTGTGGGATGGTTGAGGTCTGGAGAGGATGGCCCATGGTATCACATATGAAGGAGACTCTATGTGCCTCTAACTTCCTTTCTTTATTTTCCATTCTCCAACCCCTCCCTCCTTGCTGTTTGGTCCTCTCAGAGCTGGGGGAGATCACAAACTTGAGAGTCAACTTCACCAGGCTGGCCCCTGTGCCCCAAAGGGGCTACCACCCTCCCAGCGCCTACTATGCCGTGTCCCAGCTCCGTCTGCAGGGGAGCTGCTTCTGTCATGGCCATGCTGATCGCTGCGCCCCCAAGCCTGGGGCCTCTGCTGGCCCCTCCACCACCGTGCAGGTGACAGCCTAGGGTGGGAAGGGGACAGGAAGGGGGCAGGACCAGGGCAGACTACGGACATTCTTGGGGCTCCCATAAAGCAGGAAGGGCACTAAATCTAAAACTTGGGTACTTAATACTTCAGCAGCAACAACAAAAAATCTAAGTGGTTTTCGTTCCAAAAATCAGAATCGTTTAGTACTTCTTTAGACCTGCTTCCTAATTTGAGATGATTTTCATTTCATTTACATAAGTGTGGAAATTGGGAGGGAGTTTAAGGCAATGATTCTCAACCCTTGTTATGTATTATAACTTCACTGGGAGCTAAAAATGTTGCCCAGCCCTCTACCCTACGATATTCTAATTTTATGATTGATTTTTAAAGCTCCCAGGTGACTCGAATATACTGCCAGGTCTGACAGCCACTGGTTTAGGGATTTTAAAGTCTCATCTAGTGGTGAGATATGGGGGCAGGGTGAGAGACCAATGTTTAGTACAGATGCTAAGTCTACCCTAGACCAGGCGGATTGGCTTCAGCAGGGATGGGGGTTGAGAAGTTCCAGTTTAACAAGCCCTCGCCTCCCAGGGAATTTTGCTGTGAAACCAAACTTGAGAACCACAGGTATAGAAGAGAGAACCTTAAGCAAAGAAGCAGAGAGACCCAACATGGGAGTGTGACAGCAGTCCTAGTGATAGGGGGACAGGAGGAAATCATGTAAGATGGCCTGGGAGGGAAATAGAGGTGGCACAAGCCTCAGCTGGCATTCTTCTTTCCACTTCTGGGCCAACTTCTGCCCCAGGCTGCAGAGGTGTGCAGAGGGAGCCCAGTTCAGGGAGTGTGTCATCTGTCAGGGCCCATGAGACATACTCCTAGAACCCAAGGCTGAGTGACACAGAGGGAATACAATATGCTATGAGATGACAGGGAGGGAGGGAGCCACCTAGCCCTGGTGGTCCTCAAATCTGGCTGTGCAGTGGAATCACCACTTTTAAAAGGTGCCACTGCCTGGGCCTCATCCTTGAGATTCAGACTGAATTGGGTCTGGACCTTGGCATTTTAAAAAATGCTCCCCAGGTGACACTGAGGCGCAGCCAGGGTTGAGATCTATGGAATTAGAGGGACCAGGGAGGCCTTATGAGAGAGGTGCCATTCTAGCTGAAGCCCAGCTGGCAGGATTTTGTGAATGAATACAGAGAGAAGAGAATTCTAGGTAGAAGCAAAACCATTGTTAAGGTCAAAAGGTAGAGAAAGTAGGGCTTGCAGAGGGAGCAGCTAGAAGTTCAGCTTGCTGTGCTGTCAGCAGGGCATGGGAGCTGAGAATGCAACTAACATGATACAGGTCCCTGAATGCCAGGCTGAAGGTGTTGGGCTTAATTTGGAAGGCAATTAGCACACAATAGCTGTTCTATTTTTATACCTTAATGAGTCTAGTGACAGTTCATCACAACAGTTCCATTAGCCAAACAACTGTAGTCATAGATTGTTGGAATATAAATCTCCAGAGGGCCCCACCAGCTTCTGGATCCCACAGTTTGCCAAGGGTTTCTGAGCACCTTCCAAGCGCTGCCTCTGATTGGGTGTCACGGGGGTGTCCAAGTGCAACGAGTGAGCTTGCAAAAACCTCACTAGGGGAGCAGTGCGGGCACAAGCACGTGCACACACACACGTGTGCTCATATGTGCGGAACAATGGCAGACAGTTTCACAGGAGCTGGGTGAAGTCTGCGGCATTCAGAGGAAGCATCCCGGAAGGGTTGGTGTCTGAGCCAGACCTGAGTGGTACACAGAGGGCAGGTCCATCCCTGGGGCCCTTCTTTGTTGATTACTCCTGATGGCTGATGGTCCCCCTCCCAGGTCCACGATGTCTGCGTCTGCCAGCACAACACTGCCGGTCCAAATTGTGAACGCTGTGCGCCCTTCTACAACAACCGGCCCTGGAGGCCTGCAGAGGGCCGGGACACCCATGAATGCCAAAGTAGGAGCTTTGGATCACCCCTTCCCTGTAGGGTCTGGGTCAAGTGCTGGCCCCTCTAGGCCTCAGTGACCTCACCTGGGACACAGGGGGATCCAGTCTTTCTTATGTAAATCTAAACTGAATTGCACTGTTACAATTCAAGCTCTCCTGTCTCTGTGAGGATGGAGAGAGTATTTGGGTGACATCCTCCCACCATCCCCTGCCTTCTCCTCAGACAGACCTGGAGGGACCATGACTTGGCTGATGCTTCTGATTCCATGTGACTTTCATGGTATCTCCAGAGCCTGCTTCTTCTGGCCTCTCCAGTTGCTTTACCCTGTTTAGGACATATCTGGTTTTCTGTTGTCATTTTTCCTAATTCAAATGGCTCCCTAGAATCAGGGACTTTGTTTACATAAATGAGGAAAGCAGAGATTCTCATCCCGGAGACAGGCAGTGACCCAAGAGGAGACCAATGTTGGCAGTGGGAGGGTTGGGGATAGAGCATTCAAAGGGCTCTTGCTTTGGCCCAACATGGCCACTGTTCTTGGGTTTATCCCAACAGTAGGAATCAGGAGAATCAGTTCTTATTCTCCTCTGCTTTCTTATTGGTCATGTAACCTTAAATAAATTATACAAACCTCCCTTGGGCTCAGTTTCCCCACTTCCCTGCCTTGATCATCTTGCAGAGTTGTTACAGATGCCAATGAGCTTTTGTGGAGCACGCTTTGTAGACAGCAAAGGCGGGGGTCAGATGTCAGCCCTGGGACTCTCTTTTTCCAGGGTGCGACTGCAATGGGCACTCAGAGACATGTCACTTTGACCCCGCTGTGTTTGCCGCCAGCCAGGGGGCATATGGAGGTGTGTGTGACAATTGCCGGGACCACACCGAAGGCAAGAACTGTGAGCGGTGTCAGCTGCACTATTTCCGGAACCGGCGCCCGGGAGCTTCCATTCAGGAGACGTGTATCCGTGAGTAGAGGCTCTGGAGACCCAGAATGTCATTTGTCTGTTACTCCCCATCTGCTCTGGGTGCAATAGATCACATGTTTCTGGGTACACCAAGGCCCTCATGGAGCATGAAAACTTGACTGTGAGTCAGGATTTGTGGGAGATTATTTTAATTTAGCAGAGTATTACTAAGCAAGTCACTTAACCTCTCTGGACCATCAAGCAGACAATCCATCAATAGATGGGCTTTATTTGGGGCATAGGAAAGAAAAAAGTAAACATAAGATACAGTTTCTGCCATCAGGGAACACACACACTGTTTGGTGATATAAACTATACACTTGTGAAGAAGGATGAAAGCACCTTTTCCATATGTATATTATCACCTTTACCATGTTGTAATGAGGTTTGTGATTTAATTTCCTGTTTCTCCTAACATTGAGAACTCCTCCATGGCAAGGATTATTTCTCACATCCTCTGGCCCTAGCACACTGACTGGAAAATCACTGATGCTCAGGGAGCGTTTGTGAATGTAATGGGAGACAACAGGCAGAGGCAGGCGACTTCATATAGGAGAGGGCCTGGACTGAAGCAATCTGATTCGGGCAGGTTTAGTCAGAAAAGACTTTCTGGATGAAGGGGTCTTACATTTTGAAAGGTCTGAAAGAAGTCAGGGAATGGGGGTTGGGGAAAGCCGAATCACTTTCTGTTGATGTTTGTTGCCGGGAAGAGTGAGACAGAACTGAGTTTGATCCCTGGTTCTTGCGTGAACTTTCAATGAGAACTTGAATCAGTTATTTGACATATCTGAGCCTCAGTTTCCTCCTCTGTACAATGAGAATAATAATCTCCAGGATTACCATGAAGATTCCATGAGGCAACATGTGAGAGTGCCCAGTTCAGTGGTTGGCAAGAGTAGTTGCTCAGTAAGTAATGACAACAAAACGCCTTCTATAGTATTTAGCATATGCCAATATGCTCCCCTTGCTTTATGTTTACCCATTTCTTTCTCTCTCTCTCTCTTTTTTTTTTTTTTTTTTTGAGATGGAGTTTCGCTCTTGTTGCCCAGGCTGGAGTGCAATGGCACAATCTCAGCTCACTGCAACCTCCACCTCCCAGGTTCAAGTGATTCTTCTGCCTCAGCCTCCTGGTAGCTGGGATTACAGGCATGCGCCCCTGTGCCTGGCTAATTTTGTATTTTTAGTAGAGACAGGGTTTCACCATGTTGGTCAGGTTGGTCTTGAACTCCTGACCTCAGGTGATCCATCCGCCTTGGCCTCCCAAAGTGCTGGGATTACAAGCATGAGCCACTGCGCCCGGCCATTCACTCATTTATTTCTCACAAGAAGCCTATGAAGGCTGTATCATTATTTTTATTTTACAGACGAGGAAATTGAGGCATGGAGGGATTAAGTAACTTGACTAAGGCTATGAAATTGAAAGCCAGTGGTGGAACAAGGATTTGAACCAGGCAGCCTGGCTCCTGGAATCTGCTCTGAACTCTACTTTTCTTTGTTCCTACTGCGGTGACTGCTGTTGTCTCTCAGCCTGCGAGTGTGATCCGGATGGGGCAGTGCCAGGGGCTCCCTGTGACCCAGTAACCGGGCAGTGTGTGTGCAAGGAGCATGTGCAGGGAGAGCGCTGTGACCTATGCAAGCCGGGCTTCACTGGACTCACCTACGCCAACCCGCAGGGCTGCCACCGTGAGTAGGGGGCGCGGCCCAGCACGACATGGGGCAGGTTGCATGGGGCCACCAGACCCATGGCTTGCCCTGCTCACTGTGCTGTCTTCAGAGGAAATCCCACTGCAGGGTAGACAGAGGGGGTGTGCCCAGGCCTTTGCCAGGAGTCCGGACTTCTTGGCCTCTTATCCAGCACCAGCTGCTGTGCTACTGGCTTCCAGCAGGTGGCAGCAGAGGTCCGAGTTGGAAGGTGGGAGTGAGAGCCAGATGGAGGGTGGGCAGGCAGGCGGCTGAGCTGCCAGGTTGCTGGAACTGGTGGGACAGCGCAGGGGTACTGTGAGTCAGCCATGTCATCTGCAGGGAATGGCCTTGCCTAGTTCTTTTCCCAGGTGGGGCCCCTCCCTGGATGTGTGTCCTCTGGGGGTGAGTTTTTCATGGAGCGTCTGCCTGAGCTCAGCAGCTCTCCTCCTGCAGGCTGTGACTGCAACATCCTGGGGTCCCGGAGGGACGTGCTGTGTGACGAGGAGAGTGGGCGCTGCCTGTGTCTGCCCAACGTGGTGGGCCCCAAGTGTGACCAGTGCGCTCCCTACCACTGGAAGCTGGCCAGTGGCCAGGGCTGTGAACCGTGTGCCTGCGACCCACACAACTCCCTCAGCCCCCACTGCAACCAGGTACAAAGTGAGGGTGGCCTGGGGGCCCCTCAGTGGGAGAGGGGTCCTGAGCACCAGCCTTTCTGCTGCCCCTCCATGCTGCCTTTCTGGGCCTCTCCCCTGTCAGACCGGGCATCTTCTGTCCCCATTCTCCTTTGGGGAAGTCACCAGATGCTCCTCCCTCTGTGGCTCTTGGCCGTCAGTGATACCATATGCAGCACACCTTCTGAAGGGCCCACGCTGGGCCTTGACTTCAAGGCTCATCTCTGAGTGGGAGCCCTTGCTTTGTGGGCACAGCAGCTCTGGAGGTGGCCACGAGCCCTGGATTCTACCTGTGGACCAGAAATCTAGGACACGGTCCCTGATACCAGGGTAAGGCAGAGGCTATGAGGCAGGGTCCACTGACGCTGCTCTCTCCACACAGTTCACAGGGCAGTGCCCCTGTCGGGAAGGCTTTGGTGGCCTGACGTGCAGCGCTGCAGCCATCCGCCAGTGTCCAGACCGGACCTATGGAGACGCAGCTACAGGATGCCGAGGTGCGTGCTCAAGGCCTGGGGGATGCTGAGGCTGTGGGGTCCAAGCACGCGGTTGGGCACGTGATGGGGGCGTGTAGGTCTACAGCAGGGCAGAACGTCTCGTATTGATGCACGTGGTGTGGGCCTGGGCAGCCCTGTGAGTGCACACACTCTGGCCCATTGGTGTGGCCTCTAAGCCCCTGAGGCAGGCCTATGCCCTGCTGTCCCTGAGTCCCGGTGACATGCCAGTTGCTTTGCTCCCCACTTCCCTGAGAGAGAGCATTTCCCAGAGGCCATCTCCAAGGCAGCAGCAAGGATGGTAGGCTGTCTCTTCATTCTTCATAGATGGAGGAAGTGAGTCCTGAGGGCCGAAGGGTGTCATTTCCCAGGGAGTCAGTTTGATGTCACCATAGGAGCACAGGCCTTGGAGTGTACAGACAAGATTCTGGTCCCAGCTCTGCCCCTGCCTCACTGAGTGACTTTGAGGGAGCTGCTTCCCCTCTTTAGACTCGGTTTCCTCCTTTGAGAAAGAGGCGTGCTGTACTTAACCTCTCTGTCCCTCAGAGAGGGACATCTAGAAAAAGTGGGGAAACAAGAGTGCTAATCCTGAGAGTGGTGTGAAGATCAAATGAGTTAATGTGTGTTTGTGACTTTAAATGGTGCCTGGCACATGGTAGGTGCTAAGTAAGCATTTGCTTTCACTGCAGCTGTTACCATGGTTTTTATTCTGGCTGTGACTTCTGTTATTCTAAGTCATGTAGAAAGAGCCTCAGGTCAGACCTGCTCTTCAGGGCTCTCCCTGACAGCTGCTTCTGTCTCCCTGACCCCTGTCTCTGACTGTCATTTTTCTTGGCCCTAGCCTGTGACTGTGATTTCCGGGGAACAGAGGGCCCAGGCTGCGACAAGGCATCGGGCCGCTGCCTCTGCCGCGCTGGCTTGACTGGGCCCCGCTGTGACCAGTGCCAGCGAGGCTACTGCAACCGCTACCCGGTGTGTGTGGCCTGCCACCCTTGCTTCCAGACCTATGATGCGGACCTCCGGGAGCAGGCCCTGCGCCTTGGTAGCCTCCGCAATGCCACCGCCAGCCTGTGGTCAGGGCCAGGGCTGGAGGACCGTGGCCTGGCCTCTCGGATCCTAGATGCAAAGAGTAAGATTGAGCAGATCCGAGCAGTTCTCAGCAGCGCCGCAGTCACAGAGCAGGAGGTGGCTCAGGTGGCCAGTGCCATCCTCTCCCTCAGGTAATTCCCTTTCCCTGCCAAGCATTTGGAAGAATTATGCTCCGGGGTTCCTGTACGGGGCACACTGGTCCTTCCTTACATTTGTACAGCGCATTACAGTTTAAAGGCATTTTCACAGTGCTCTCTCTTTCAACCATTACAACAGTCCTGTGAGGTTGGTGTGGTTTTGCAGATGAGAAAACAGGCACAGATAGGTGATGTGACAGAGCCATATGGCCCCCGAAGGGCAGAGCTGGGACTCAGAACACAGCCCAGGAGCCCAAGCCCAGCGTTCTTTTAAGTGCCCGGTGCTGCCTGTGGGAGGGAGTCAGCTCTGGATTAGTCACCCTGGCAGAGGGCATCCGAGAGGCAGGGGCTCCAAAAATAACCCGCGTGTGGCTTTGGAATGGAAGTGGTCCCGCCCACACCCCCATCCCACCAGCAGAGGTGCCTTCTTAGTGAGATTCAGTTCTGGAAGCTTCTATAGTTAGTTGGCATTCCCTGAGCACTGGCTTTCTGATGGTGCACAGAGCCATCCAGGTGTGTGAGTGGGGGGGAGGGAAAAGGCAGCCTAAGAAGAATGAAAATGGAGGCTTCGTGACTCACGATGTGCTAGAGCCTCTGGCTGGGTGCTCCAGCAGAGGAAGTCAAGCAAATATTGGGAACCTTCCTTCCTTCCTCCCTTCCTTCCTTCCTCCTTTCCTTCCTTCCTTCCTTTTTCCCTTCCTTCCTTCCTTCCTTTTTCCCTTCCTTCCTTCCTTCCTCCCTTCCTTCCTTCCTTTTTTCCTTCCTTCTTTCCTTCCTTTTT